CGGGTGGGGAGATTTTGAAGCTTGTAAAGTCCACATTGAGACTATTGGGTTATAGGGTTCCTCGGTGGAATATGTGGAGCACCTACGCTTGGTTCGTGACAAATGACAACACCTCCCAGTCGCGGACCACTTCAACTCCCCCTCCCACTCCTTGGACGACATGTCCATCCTGGGCCTCCTGCAGTGTCACAATGATGCCAACCAAAAACTGGAGGAACAGCACCTCATATTCCGCCTGGGAACCCTGCAGCCCAATGGTCACAATGTGGACTTCACAAGCTTCAAAATCTCCCCACCTCCGACCTCATCCCCAGACCAGTCCCACTTCTCGTCCCCGCCTCCTTGACCTGTCCGTCTTTTCTCCCACCTATCCGCTCCTCCCACCTCACTGATCAACCCCATCCCCACTTCCTACCTACTAGCCTCATCCCCGCCTCCTTGACCTATCGGTCTTCTCTCCATCTAACTGCTCCACTATCCACCTTCTATCATCGCCTCCTTCTCTCTCTCTATTTATTTATTTCAGCGCCCCCTTCCCCTCCCCCATTTCTGAAGAAGGGTCCAGACCTGAAACGTCAGCTTTCCTGCTCCTCTGATGCTGCCTGGCCTGCTGTGTTCATCCAGCTCTACACCTTGTTATCACAAAGGTAGGAGCAGTTGCTGTGGATAACACCTACATTGCAGAGGAACATGATAAACACAAGGGAGAAACATATAGAGGATAATGTTTAGAAGGTGAGATGTATGTGAATGTGGTTTGGGTGTTGCTAAACAAATGGACCTTTTGGGACAACCAGCCTATTCCGGTGTCTGTTACCAAAGTCAAATAGTTACAGAGGCTTCACTAAAAATATTGTTCATCCCTTGTCTCCTGAAAACCCAAGGGTTGTAATTGCATAATTGATGGCATACTCAAACAGGACTTGTCGCTTATCAGCCCCAAACCTGGACATTGTCCAGCTCTTGCTTCATGTGCACAGAAGCTGCATCAGTATCTAAGGAGTTGCAAACATTGTGCAATCATCCCCAATTCTAGCCTTATGGGGATCATAAAATCAGAAGGGTTTTATTGTTTTATTAGTCCATGGGATTTGGACATAGGTTATTGCTGAAGTAGCTGAAGTTGGTTGGTCCTAGGAGACTACCCTGAGCAACTCATACACTGATGTTCCTGAATTGAGATGATGTACCTCCAACAAACCATGGCCATTTTCTTTTGCGGCAGGTATGATCCCGACCAGTAGAGATTTTTTCTCCTAATTCTTATTGACTTCAGTGTTGCTGGGACTCCTTGATCAGACAAATAATGCCTCGATGTGACAGGCAGTCATTCTCACCTTGCCTCTGCAGCTCAGCTCTTTTGTCCATGTTTGGACCAAGACTGGAATGAGGTCAGGAGCTGAGGTGTCCTGGCAGAAGCCAAACTGAAGATCAGTGAGCAGGCTTTATTTGCAAGGGCTGTTGGTGACACTCCTATTCCATTACTTTGTTGATGTTTGAGAGTTGATTGCGAGGTCAGTAAATGGCTGGGTTAAGTTTGTCCTGCTTTTTATGAACAGGACGTACTGGGACAATTTTCCACGTTGTCCAGTAGAGACCCATCTCGTAACTATACTGAAACAGCTTCACTAAAGTTGGGTAAAAGCCGAAAGAACTGCGGATGCTATAGATCAGAAACAGAAATACAAATTGCTGGAAAAGCTCAGCAAGTCTGGCAGCATCTGTGCAGAGAAATCAGAGCTAATGTTTCAGGTCACGTGAACCATTCTAAGGAAGTGTCTGTCGAGACCTGCTGAGCTTTTCCAGCAATTTCTATCTTTGTCACTAATGTTGATGTTTGGTCTGAAGCACACGTCTTCAGTAATATTGCCAGAATGTTGTCAGGGCCCATAGCCTTTGCAGTATTCAGTGCCCTCAGCCAACTCAAGTGGTACCTGTGCCACCAAACTACTCTTGTTGATGGACATCGAAGACTCTCACTCTGAGTACAAACTGCTCCCTTGCCATCCTCAGTGCTTCCTCCAAGTCAGGTTCAACACAATGGAGAAATGATTCATCTGCTGAAGGGGTGGGGGTTCAGTACATGGGATCAACCAGAAGTTCCCGTGCCCAAATTTGACCTGATGCCATGAGATTTCGTGTAGTTGGCAGTCAATGTCGATGACCCATAGGTATACTTCTTTACCAGTGCGTTGCCACCCCTGCTGGATCTGTCCTGTCCAGGGTTGATGTTGGTGGGGTCTGGAATGTCATACTCAGACACATCAGGATGTTGCTTGACTAGTCTGAGAAATGTCCCTCCTAATTTTCCCCATATATGTTAGCAACAAAGTCAATGGGCTGTGCTTTTAGCTGTCATTTCCAATGCATAGGGTAATGGCAGGTGGTCAGTCTGTTTTCATTCCTTTCTTTAGATTTTACAGACTTTTTTTAAATAACCGAGTGGCTTGCTAGTCCATTTCAGAGGGCAATTAAGAGTCAACCACATTTCATGAATCTTCAGTCACATGTGGACCATACCAGATAAGAACAGATACTCTCTAAAAAAAATTAGTAAACAATATAATGATTACATTGTCAGCAAGAGGCTAGCCTTTTTAAAAATTTTTAATGAAATCAAATTTCACTATCTACCATACTGGCTGGGGCTCAGGATTACTACGCGGCCACTACAGCAAGTGCAACAAAAATGTTTGCTCCTGGTGAGATTGCAAGGCATCAATTAAACAACTGTGGTCTCAGGTTAAAAGCCTACACCTCAGATACTTTTAAACTTTATATTTTCTTAGTCTTCCTTTTATACTGACTCCATCCCTTTTTAATCTGTGTGCATATATGTTTGATGTCACATTTTCATTATTTTTCTCATATTAGCAGATTAAATTGCTCCTTCATTCAAGAAAACTTTTTAATTGGTTCCTTACCAAATACCTACTGTGACTACATTCTTGCTGGTGTAAATAAAAAAGGGGGTCCTGATTCACCTTTCCTTACCTGGGTAACAATTGCAGTTCTGAGGGAGTGCTGCACCGTCAGAAGCAACATTTTTCAAATGAAACATTATACATTTTTTTACAGCTAGATTTCAAAGATCTGGTAATACCATTTCAAATAAAGAGGCAGTTCTCCGACAATGTCCTGACCAATGGTCTTTCATTGGCCAACACCACTGAAAAAAGACTTGCACATTACTGTTTGACTGTGCTATCTACCTAAATATTAGCTCCTATATTTCTCTACATTACAACAATGACTAAGCTTTAGAAGTACAGAATGGGCTATAAAGTGCTTTGGGAAATCTTGATGGCCATGCCAGGCACTATATAAATGCAAGCTCTTTCTTCTCATACATGCCTTATCAAAAGGTAAGTTACCCATGCCTCTATCTTTTGATGGCTTAATTCATCTTCAATTTGCTCTAATGAAACCAATGAGGGGGAGGCCTAGTCGTATTATCGCTAGACAATTAATCCAGAAACTCAGCTAATGTTCTGGAGGCCTGGGTTTGAATCCTGCCACGGCAGATGGAGTTTGAATTCACTAATAATCTAGACTTAGGAATCTGCTAATGACCATGAAACCGTTGTCAACTGTTGCAAAAACCCAGCTGGTTCACTAATGTCCTTCAGGAAAGGAAATCTGCCATCCTCACCTGGTCTGGCCTACATGTCGATCTAGACCCAGAGCGATGTGGTTGACTCTCAACTGCCCTCTGAAATGTCCTAGCAAACCATTTAGTTCAAAGGCAACTGGGGACGGGAAATAAGTGCTGGCCAGGCAGCAACACCCACATCCCACAAAATATAAAAAAAAATTCCAGCTCAGAATGCGCTTAACATATTTTAAATAGGACTTGTCTTTCCAAATATGTTCTCATGATATTGCTGGATGGTTTCAGTTCAAGTTCTCAAGAGTTATCACACTCTTCCTTTTTATGCTGGTTTCTAAAATTAAGCTCTTCAAAGGGTGACGTTGGGAAGGACATTTTTATTTGTTCATGGGACATTAGTGTCACTGGCCAAACCAGCTTTCATTGGACTATTCCTGATTGATCTTGTTTGTCCTCTGAGCAATCACATTGCTATGGGTGTGCAGTCACATGTAGGCCAGACCAGGTAAAGACAGCAAAACTTTTTTTTCCCCTTGAAAAAATATAGGACGTTAGCGAGCCAGATGGGTTTCTACAACAAATGACACTGGTACAGATTTGTGTACTGGGTTTGATTGAATTTCTTAGTGGGATTTGAAATCATATTTCCAGAACATTAGCTGGGTTTGAGAATTGCTAGCTCGGTGATATCACCGTATCACCACTGCCTACCCGTCTTCAAACACAGAGCATTGGAAATCTTGGATACTCTTCACTCCCTCAGTACTTGTGGGGAAGGAAGTAAGACAGGCTGGGGAAAGTTCAGGCAAGAAGAAAGAGAAATTAAAAATCTTATTGAAGTTAAGGATACGAGGCAGAATGAGGGAATTGAGGTACAGATCAACCATGATCTAACCAGAATCCTATAGTGTGGAAGCATCCATTCGGCCCATTGAGTCCACATTGCCCCTCCGAAAAGCATCTCACACAGACCCACCCCCCTATCCTATCCCTGTAACCCTGCATTTCCCTTGGCCAATCCACCTAACCTGCACATCTATGGATGGTGGGAGGAAACCCACATAGACACGGGGAGAACGTGCAAACTCCACACAGACAGTCGCCCAAGGGTGGAACAGAAGCTGGGTCCTTGGCGCTGTGAGGCAGCAGTGCTAACCACTGAGCCACTGTGCTGCCTGAATGGTGGAACAAGCTCAAAGGACTGAATAGTCTTTTCCTGTCCTGATATTAATTTAAATTCTCAGGGAATCCGTATGTATCCAAAATCCCTTTGCTATTTTCTGATCAATATAAAGAGAAAGAGAAAGAAACACTCTCCCAAATTCAGACTGCTCCTCATAATGCATTGTACTGATCTTTAACTCCTTATAAAATACCAAGTAGCCAGGGGTTACATCATCTCAAATGTTTATTTAAAAACTTTATTTTAAAGTCAGCTACAGAAATAACAGAATAATCAAAAAGTATACCTCTTTAAGCTGAAAGATACAACACACTTTATAAAGTACGAGAGTCAGTGCATACAATTTGTGTCAACAATTTGCAAGCTATTTAGCAGCCTCTGCCACAGTTGCATGTTTGTTTAAAGCATATGTTCCTTCATAAATGTTTAAAAACCTCTATTGTCCGTTAACTGCCCACATGCCCATCTCCCCACCATCCCTTTCTGAAGGCTCATACTTTCCCTTGGGACACTGACCAGTCAACTGGTGGCAAGAGGCCATATTAACTATTCCACTCCAGAAAACATTTGAACTAAATCCCAATCCCCACATACGTTCTCCTCAGCCAAAACCCATGAGTCCTTTTTAATAGGGCTAAGCTGGAATTCTCGTTAGCTCACCCCTCCCAGCATAAAACCTCGCACAGCAGCCCAACTAAGAGCAGCTATCTTGACACAAACCCGAAGTGGAATGAGTGGGAATTTCCTGACTCATACCACCCTCAAGTGAGTCTTTGGACTCAAGGGCAATCGATATCAGAGGATTGTAGATGTGGCTGTTTAAAACTGATTATTTAGCAGAAATAGAATTAGAACTCTTTCTACAATGTGGTGACCTTGCAAACGTGTGGTTTGACAAGTCTACAATGAATTTCAGCTTTAAATCGTTTGCTGCCCATCTTCTTTGAGAAATTACTGCAGCCAGTTGACTTTGGTAGGTTCTATTATTTAGATTGCAAAACAGTTAACTGTCCTTGGACATTCATGGTTTTGAACAGATATGGGAATCAACAGTCTAAACACTTTTCTTTGTTGGTAAGTGAAGCTAATGTATCTTCTCAAACTGCTACAATCCTGTTGTGTAGGGATAACCACACTGCTGTTAAGGAAAGGAATTATAGGTGTTGACCTTGGGAAAAAAGGTCAAATCAAGATGGTGTGTGACTTGGAGGGAAATGTGTAGGTTGAGGTCACCAAATTGGAATATGTGTCAAAGAGAATTGTGAGTTGTTGCACTGTATCTTGTAAATGGTACAAACTGCATGTTACATGAATTGACCGTGCTAAATTGTCCATACTGTCCAGGGATGTGCAGGCTGGGTGGATTAGCCATGGGAAATGCAGGGTTACGGGGATAGGGTAGGGGTCTGGGTGGGGTGCTCTTTGGAGGGTCGGTGTGGACGTGATGGGCTGAATGGCCTCTTTCCGCACTGTAGGGATTCTAATGATCCACATGATGAGATTTGGTGCCTGACTCTTACAGGCATCACTGGCTGGATCCTTACCTCACCGGGTCCTCACACGTTTCTGATCTTCAATAATGTCAACAACTAGGAGACAGACCCATCTTTACCCCACCCTGACCACAGCTGCTGCTGTCGGCTCCAAACACACAGGACAGTTCCCAAATCATGACACTGATCAACAACAGACATCAAAAGTCAAACCTAGAAATTTGCTGGCCTACTGTCAACCATCTGAGAAAATGTCTGAAGCCTTCAGAACATGAGCTGCTGCATAACAGAATCAGAATTTGATGAGATTGAAAACAGGCTTCTACACATCCAAATCAACACTCAAGCCAAACCTGTCCCTGTGTCACTGTCTAATAAAAGAAATGCAGCTGTATCTGAAGGTCAGGACTCCAATCTATGTAAAAGTAAAATAGAACCACAAAGCCAAATTCCACATCAGCAGTTTTTGCATCACTATCCATTCATTCAGTTAACTTTTTCCCATCAATTGCTTAACTTAAATCCTTCAATATGCCATCTTTTCTTGGTGAGGTAACCTGCAGCTAGAATAATGTAATAACTTTACGCAGCAGGGTTCAAACAAGACAAAATAACACCCACAAAACAGCTCAACATGAAAATCAAATTTCCAACTTATTACAAAAGATTTACATTAAAATTTGAAAGCTCAGTCTTTAAGGTATACAGCAGGGTTTTGGGATGATGAATGCACTTGCTCAAATTTCCTTCAAATATAGTTTGGATAACAAAATTGCCCAGTGTTATACCACCCCTCAGACAAAATAGGAAAACATAGTGCAGGAGAAGCTGAAAGTAGAAAATTACGAGCTTAGAAAGAATTTCAATGCTCTGATACAGCAGTAGTAATTAGTTCCGGATCACTGCCTCTTCAAATCAATGGTAGGAAAGTAACTCCAACTATTCCCTCACTCCAATATAGATTTCTCCTGATCCAAAAACATGCAACTAGGTGTTAGATCCTGTGGGACTGTTGTCTGCCATTCAGTATACACACCCACTCACACTCTAACAAAACAAGGCTGTTTGTTTGTGGAGGTGCATTGCAAATGCTGTTCCTGGGATGTGAAAATTTTGTAACGTGGCCTAGTATACACAGTCGACTGTAAAATCGACTCTGCGGCATGGTTGTGATGTACAGTGTCCTGAAGTCTGAAAACACCTCTGTTCAAATTAACTCTCTACTGCTTGTCCTTTAGCTATTTCCATAATCCCAGTGATTCTTCTTTCTTAATGGTTTCCCATATTGCACACATTTGCAGCACTTTTGCCTGGAAGATTGGAGGCACACCAGGTAGCAGCCCAGAGGGGAGGACTAGCTTGACTCTATCACTTCTACCCGACTCTCCCACTATCTCAGGATTATCGAGGTCACCAACTTCAGCAACGCAACAGCTAATCCAACATCAAGCAATTGGCATCGTGCCCTTCTGGTCTGCTATGGCTCATTACTGGATGCACAAAAGAAAATAAAGCCATAAAACTGCACTCAAGAAAGGGCCATTTTGCCTATCATTAGCTTATTTGTGTACCTTAATTTTTCTATGATTTAATATCGATGACTTTCTTCAATGGGACCATTCAACTGGACTCATTAGACTGAACTTCTCAGCCAGTGAGCCACGAAGGAGGAAGGCTGACTAAGTATCTCTGTACATCATATCCTCAATCTTCAGGATCACTTTACCTGGTCACCTTAACAACCACCCTTCACTAAGTAAAAGTACTGACCAAAATAATACAAGATGCACAAACATTATTTTACCATATTTTCATTATGCTTTCAAAAATTGTGACATTCTGTCCTACTATAATGATAAAGGGCATCTCAACAAATCCAGAATTTACTTTTATTTACTAATTTTAAAAAAAGGGAACCTGATGCAGAGACACCTAGTTGGTTTACCAACAGCATAAAAAGAGGGAGTGACCCATCCAGCACAACCTTGAATTTTGAAGAACTTAAGGAAAGAGAAACAAAGTCTCATTTGTACACCATGTCTCCCAAAACAAATAAAAAAAAAGAAATAAAAACTGAATTAATTTATAAGCCAAGAAAGTGTGAAGGCACCCATTTCAATGTCAGTTTTTGAGAGGACTGATGCTAAAGCGACAAAGTACAAATGAGGGCCATCTATCAGAAGCCATTTAATGCAAATGTAAGTTTACTCCTAGTGTCTGCAGAGATATGAATCCATAGGATCTGTCATTCTTTTCATGTATTGGCAACAGCGTCCAAAAGAAAATGTCTGGTTGCAGGCAGCACCACTATCTAAAAAGGATGGCACCAAATGCCACTCAATTGTACGCATTAGATATTGCTCAGGAGGAAGAACTCTGGCTGTTTCCTCCCTTTGATCTCACTACCCCCCACCATCCCCAGCCCACCTCCCAATTCTCCACTGCATGCTCCACAACATAACACCAAGTTGGAACAAACAAACTTAAAGTGAACCAAGGGCAACTAAGGATTTCCTGATGTGTTTGTGCAAGGATTTCCTAAAACAAATTATGTATAAAAATTCACAGAGAACACTCTTAACAGGTACAGATAATTCTCAACAGCTTCAGGTAAGAATAAAAACTAGGACACTTTCTAAGTGTGCACACAGTACAAAAGGCAATCACAATATTAGTGGACTGTCAAATCCAAGCTATTCCTCTCAATTCACGTAGTGTATCAGAAAGCTTAGGGCAAGAAGGTTTTTGAAAGGAGCGCTACACAATGGAACCATCGCGATGTTGTGCTGGGATCATGACAGGAACAGCCCCCATGCGATTCAGACTAGGAGCAGCTACCTTGTACGAAGGGTTGATATTCGGGCTGTGATTGGGCAGATATTCCACGTCGTTTGTAGCCAGTCGATCATAATGGGTTTTGTAGGGTTCCATGTTGGAGGGAGACATGGAGCCCAGAGAGGAACGCTGCGAGCCCACAGTGTAACTTCGAGCCGTTGAAACCCGACTTTTTGGAGCCGGAACATCCTCTCTGTTAAGACAAGGAGTGAAAAATCTTTTAAACACGATGCAGAGAGTCCACAACATCAAACAAAATCCTCACTTCCACAGACAAAACACCCTAGGTTATCAAAGTGCCGATTATGGTGCCATTGTGGGGAGGTGATGGCCTAGTGACATTGTCACTGGACTAGTAGTTCAGAGACCTCGCCAATGTTCTGGGGACCCAGGTTCGATTCCTGCCATGACAGATGATGGAGTTTGAACTTTATTAAAATCTGGAATTAAGAGTCGAACGATGACCATGAACCTGTTGCCAATATTTGGGGAAAAACCTACCTGTTTCACTGATGCCCTTTTATGGAAGGAAACTGCTGTCCCTAGCTGGTCTGGCCCATGTGCCCCCGATCCAAAGCAATGTGGTTCACTCTTAATGGGCCTCTGGGCAATTATGGATGGGTAATAAATGCTGGCCTAGACAACAAAGTCTACATTCCATGAGTGAATATTCATAAAAAAACACACTGGAATCAAGTCAATTCTTTGACTTTTGAAATAAAATGTTGCAATCTAAGTCTCTCGACAGGTCCCGTGAACAGAAACTATTTTGTGATGTTGATTTAAGACTAAGTATTTTCCAGAACAACAGAAATATTATTCCTGTTCCTCATTGAACAAAAATGTTAAACTTCAAAGGGCATAACTAGTGATGCTAACTCAAGTCAATTTTGCCAACCTTAGCTCACGTAGTATAACTGACATTTTTGTCTCATTGGAAAATCTTCTGGGGTAGAAGTGACCTGTATAAGAAGGATGGATTGCACCTGAATTGGAAGGGGACTAACACACTGGCAGGGAGATTTGCTAGATCTGATCGGGAGGATTTAAAATGTCAGGGGGGTAGGGGGGTGGTTTGTGGGGGGGAAAGGTGGGTGGGGTGTGATTGGAGAATCCAGGGAGCTAGTGAGAATAAAAGAGATCAGTCTGAGACTGGTGCAGTTGGGAAAAGGAGCCTTTCAAAGAGTCAGGGCAGGCAGGAACAAAGCAGAGAATGAGGTAGGACTGATAAATTAAACAGCATTTCTTACAATGCGAGAGGCCTGACAGGTAAGGCAGATGAACTCGCAGCATGGTTGGGAACATGGGGCTGGAGTACTACAGCAATTACAGAGAGACGTGGCTCAGGGACGAGTAGGATTGGCAGCTTAATGTTCCAGGGCATAGATGCTATAGGAAGGATAGAAAGAGGGGCAAGACAGGAGGGGGAGTGCGTTTTTGATTAGGGATAACATTACAGCTGTACATAGAGAGGATATTCCTGAGAGTACATCCAGGTAAGTTATTTGGGTAGAACTGAGAAATAAGAAAGGGATGATCACCTTATTGGGATTGTACTATATGCCCCTCAATAGTCAGCAGGAAATTGAGAAGCAATTTGTAAGGAGATCTCAGTTATCTGTAACAATAATAGAGTGGTAATGATTGGAGATTTTAACTTTTTAAACATAGACCGGGACTGCCATTGTGTTAAGGGCTTGGATGAAGAGGAATTTGTTAAGTGCACAAGAAAATTTTCTGATTCAATATGTGGATGTACCTATTACAGAAGGAACAGAACTTGATCTACTCTTGGGAAATAAGGCAGGGCAGGTGACTGAGGTGTCAGTGGGGGAGCACTCTGGGGATGTTTCGGGATGGGAAAGGATAGATCAGATCTAAAAGTTAAAGTTCTAAATTGGAGGAAGACCAATTTTGATGGTATTTGGCAAGAGCTTTCAAAAGTGATTGGGGGTGGATATTCGCATGTAAAGCGATGGCTGGGAAGTGAGAAGCCTTCAAAAATGAGATAATGAGAGTCCAGAGACAATATGTTCCTGTTAGGGTGAAGGGCAAGACTGGTAGTTGCAGGGAATGCTGGAGGTTTTGATTAAGAATAACAAGGACGCACGTGACAAGTATGGACAGGAGAGATCGAGTGACTCCCTAGAAGAGTTTAAAGACTGTAGGAGTATACTGAAGAGGGAAATCAGGAGGGGACATGAGATAGCTTTGGTAAACAGGGCTAAAGAGAATCCAAAGGGATTTTACAAATACATTAAGGACGAAAAGGGTAACTAGGGAGAGAATAGGGCCAGTTAAAGATCAGCAAGGCCACCTATGTGTGGAACTGCAGGAGATGGGCGAGATACTAAATGAATATTTTGCAACTGAACTTACTGTGGAGACAGATGAATGGACACTGCGCAACAATCGCCAGACAGGAATGTTCCCTCTCAGTTGGGGAACACTTCAACAGTCAAGGACCGTCAGCTTCCAATCTTCGGGTAAAAGTCCTCCAAGGTGGACTTCAAGATACACAACACCGCAGAATTGCTGAGCAGAAACCAATAGCCAAGTTCCGTACCCATAAAGGTGGCCTCAAGTCGCACTACATGTGACCCCACCACACGGTTCCGTATCTGTAAAACCTTCCTTATTGTCCTGCTTTGACACCATCACCATGATGAATTGTTATGATCCCTCTACCCTAATCATTTTGTTCAAGTTTTGGATTACTTTTTACTTTGGTTAGACCCTCAGCATGCGACTCTTATACCCATCATGTTATTCCAGTCATTTGGTTCGTCCCCAGCGCCACCTTATTTTTATTTTTTTGTAATTATCTCTCTGCCTCATTAATCAGATTACAGGTCATGCCTTCACTTGTGATTCAGCTGTTGACACTTTACTCACACTGTCTGACACTTTTGATGACCTGCAGAAACTTATTATTCGACACTCCACTCACACCCTTTGGATAATCTTTTGATCTCTCGGCCCATAAATTCGTGTCAGTGTGCTCCTCTCTCACTTCACCCGATGAAGGGGCAATACTCCGAAAGCTTGTGACTATAACCTGATGCCATGTGACTTCTGACTTTGTGCCCCCCAGTCCAACACCGGCCCCTCCACAACATACTGTGGAGAAGGATATGGAAGCTAAAGAACTTGGGGAAATAAATAGCGACTTCTTAAAAAGTGCCTATATTACACAGGAGAAGGTGCTATACGTCTTAAAACGCATAAAGGTGGATAAATCCCTGGGACCTGATCAGGCATACCCTGGAACTCTGTGGGAAGCTGGGGATATGATTGCTGGGTGCCTTGCTGAGATATTTGTATCATTGGTAGCCACAGGTGAGGTGCCGAAAGACTGGAGGTTTGCCAACGTGGTGCCATTATTTAAGGAAAGTGGTGAGGAAAAGCCAGGGAACTATAGACCAGTGAGCCTGACATTGGTGGTGGGCAACTTGTTGGAGGGAATCCGAAAGGACAGGATTTGCATGTATCTGGAAAGGCAAGGATGGATTAGGAATAATCAACTAGGCTTTGCATGTGGGAAATCCTGTCTCACTGACTTGAGTCTTTTTTTGAAGAAGTAACGAAGAGGATTGATGAAGGCAGAGTGGTGGACATGATCTGTATGTACTTAAGTAAGGTGCTTGACAAGGTTCCTCATGGTAGACTGGTTAGCAAGGTTAGATCACATGGAATACAGGGAGAACTAGCCATTTGGATACAGAATTGGCTTGAACGTAGGGGACACGAGGATTGGTGCTGGGTCCATTGCTTTTTGTCATTTATATCAACGCTTTGCATGTGAATATAGGAGGCATGGTCAGTAAGTTTGCAGATGGAGATGTAGTGGACAGCCAAGAAGGTTACCTCAAAGTACCATGGGATCTCGATCTGATGGGCCAATGCGCCGAGAAGTGGCAGATGGAGTTTAATTTAGATAAGTGTGAAGTGCTGCATTTTGGTAAGACAAGTCAGGCAGGACTTATACACTTAAGGGTAAGGTCCTGGGAAGTGTTGCTGAACAAAAAGAGACCTTAGAGCGCAGGTTCATAGTTCTTTAAAAGTAGAATCGCAGGTAGAAAGGACAGTGAAGGCGGCATTTGGTATGCTTGCCTTTATTGGTCAATGCATTGAGTATACGAGTTGGGAGGTCATGTTGCAACTGTACTGGACGTTGCTTCGGCCACTTTTAAATACTGCATTCAATTCTAGTCTCCCTGCTATAGGAAGGATATTGTGAAACTTGAAAGGGTTCAGGAAAGATTTACAAGGATGTTGCCAGGGTTGGAGAGTTTGAGCGATAGGGAGACGCTGAATAGCCCGGGGCCATTTTCTCCAGAGCGTCAGAGGCTGACGGGTGACTTTATAGAGGTTTATAAAATCATGTGGGGTCATGCATTGGGTGAATAGCCAACGTCTTTTCCCTGGGATGGGAAAGTCCAAAACTAGACGGCATGGGTTTAAAGTGAGAGGGGAAAGATTTAAAAGGGACCCAAGGGGCAACATTTTCACACAGAGGGTGGTGTGTGTATAGAATGAGTTGCCAGAGGAAATGATGGAAGCTAGTACAAGTACAACATTTAAAAGGCATCTGGATGTGTATGTAAATAGGAAGGGATTAGAGGGATATGAGCCAAATGCTGGCAAATGGGACTAGACTAGTTTAGGATATCTGGTCATCCTGGACAGTTGGACCAAAGGTTCTGTTTCCATGTACAGCCCTGTGACTCTAAATTGTTGCTCCCTTCTTGATTTGGCATTCTTGCACCCGTCCTGATGAGTGCATGACAAAAACTAACAGCAAGTCCTTTTTTCTCTCCAAGCAATATTCAACTGTTGTGTTACCAACCAATTATTCGTTATTACCTTATTTCATAAGGTTGCTCCTTCTCATAGGTTTTCTGTTTCTTTCTCCGAAGACAGCACCAGACAATGATGGCCAGCAACAGTAAAGCCAGCAGCACACCAATAATGGCTCCCGCTATCTTCCCGGCATTGTTGGAGGCTTTAAAAAAAATAAAGCAATGAACTCCAGTTCTTAATCAGTGAGGGGATCAGTCATGTTTCCACACCAAAACACATTCTTCACTTTATAAAAACCAAAAGAACTGCGGATGCTGTAAATCAGGAACAAAAACAAAATTGCTGGAAAAGCTCAGCAGGTCTGGCAGCATCTGTGAAGGAGAAAACAGAGTTAACGTTTCCTTTCCTCGGAACTGAAAAAGGGTCACCGGACCCGAAACGTTAACTCTGTTTTCTCCTCCACAGATGCTGCCAGACCTGCTGAGCTTTTCCAGCAACTTTGTTTTTGTTCCTGTTTTACATTCTTCACTTTCCCCATCCAAAAGGGGCCAGTTAGCTCAGTTGACTGGGATGGTTAGTTTGCAATACAGAGTGACACCAACAGTGCAGGTTTAATTCCTGTCACTGGCTGAGGGTGTCATAAAGGTGCAACATTTTCAACCTCAGCAACACCCAAAGCCTCTCACCCCCTCCTCTGTCTGAGGTATGGTGACCTTCAGGTTAAAACACCACCAGTTGTCTTTCAGATAAGAAAGTAGCCCTGTGGTTCCCTGGGACTATGGCAACACCACCTTTACATTTCAAATTCAAGATCAGTGATGGCACCTTCTTTCATTTGCATCCCAACTCATCCCTTGAAATTCTCGATAGCAATTGCTTCTGGGAACATACTCCATATAAAATAGCCTGCTCTGCCAATGAATAGAATCACGGCTGATCCAAATTCCCTCATGGCCACTTTCCTGTGTTTTCCCCATAACCCTCGATTCCTCGACTGATTATGAACCTATCTCAGCCTCCACTGCTCACTGTGACAAGGGGTTCCAAAGGCTCTCAACACTCGTAAGAAATTTCTCTTTTTGCCTGTCTTAAATTGGCGCCCCATTATTGAGACTGGGTCCTCTGGTCCTTGACTCTCCCACGAGGGGAAAAATCCTCTCAGCATGTACCCTCTCAAGCCCATTAAGAATTCTGTATGTTTCAAGGAGATCACCTCTCACTCTTCTACACTCCAATGAGTAGAGTTCCAACCTGTTTAAGCTTTTCTAATAAGATAATCCCTCCACTCTGTAGACTAATGGACTTGTACAACTTAATCAAATATGAGAACTATGGGTAGAACAGTCAACCCATGTGAACCGCGCTGAGCTTGCAAGAAGCAGGAACAGGGCTTTAAGAATGGAATGTACGAAATTGCAGCACGAGGAAATTGCAGAATAATGGAAGCAGGAATTAGGCTTGGAAATATCTAGAGGTGATCGTACACAGAAGCTTGTGGGAATGAGTTAGCTACAGATGAATGAGCATACTTCCCTGAAAGTTTCCTGCAAGAATTGCAACATAGATGTCACTGTGAGACTACTGCTCAGAAGAAACTGATTTGGAGGGAACTCCTGTACAAAAAGACACAGTGCTTAGAGAATATCCATGGGCAAGAATATGTACGGAAAAGGAACCAGAGAAAGAAAGGCCAACGATCAAGAACTATTCCGACCTCTCAGAAAAACCTGTGAAATGTGTGGTTGGAGATGTGGGTCTAGGATCAGGCTGACCTGCCATACAAAGGGAGTACGAGAAAACCTTGGCGGATAGGATCAAGGAAAATCCCAAGGCGTACTATGCTTATGTGAGGAACAAGAGGATGGCCAGAGTGAGGGTAGGGCCGATCAGGGATAGTGAAGGGAACTTCTGCACAGAGTCAGAGGAGGTAGGGGAGGTCCTTAATGAATACTTTGCTTCAGTATTCACCAGTGAGAGGGACCTTGACGTTTGTGAAGACAGTGTGAAACAGGCTGATATGCTTGAACAGGTTGATATTAGGAAGGAGGATGTGCTAGAAATTTTGAAAAACATGAGGATAGGTAAGTCCCCGGACCAGACGGGATATACCCAAGGTTACTATGGGAAGAGAGGGAAGAGATTACTTCCCCTTTGGCAATGATGTTTGCATCCTCACTGTCTACTGGAGTAGTGCCAGAAGATTGGAGGGTGGCAAATGTCATTCCCTTGTTCAAGAAAGGGAACTGGGATAATCCTGGAAATTATATACTGGTCAGTCTTACTTCTGTGGTGGGCAAATTATTGGAGAGGATTCTAAGAGATAGTATTTATGATTATTTGGAAAAGCACAGTTTGATTAGAGATAGTCAGCATGGCTTTGTGAGGGGCAGGTCATACCTCACAAGCCTTATTGAATTCTTTGAGGATGTGACAAAACACATCGATGAAGGCAGAGCAGTGGATGTGGTGTAAATGCATTTTATCAAGGCATCTGATAAGGTTCCCCATGGTAAGCTCATTCAGAAAGTAAGGAGGCATGGGATTCAGGGAAATTTGGCTGTCTGGATACAGAATAGGCTGTCCAATAGAAGACAGAGGGTGGTACGAGATGGAAAGTATTCAGCCTGGAGCTTGGTGACCAGTGGTGTTCCACAGGGATCTGGGATCTGGGATCTGTTCTGGGACCTCTGCTCTTTGTGATCTTTATAACTGACTTGGATGAAGAAGTGGAAGGGTGGGTTAGTAAGTTTGCCAATGACACAAAGGTTGGTGGAGTTGTGGATAGCGTGAAGGGCTGTTGTAGATTGCAACGGGATATTGACAGGATGCAGAGCTGGGCAAAGAAGTGGCAGATGAAATTCAACCCAAAAAGGTGTGAAGTGATTCATTTTGGAAGGTCGAATTTGAATGCAGATTACAGGGTTAATGGTAGGATTCTCGGCAGTGTGGAGGAACAGAGAATCTTGGGGTCCACGTCCATAGTTCCCTCAAAGTTGCCACCCAAGTTGATAGGGTTGTAAAGAAGGTGTATGGTGTGTTGGCTTTCATTGGCAGGGGAATTGAGTTTAAGAGCCCCGAGATTATGCTGCAGCTCTATAAAACTCTGGTTAGACCATACTTGGAATATTGTGTTCAGTTCTGGTCACTCATTATAGGAAAGATGTGGAAGCTTTAGAGAGAGTGCAGAGGAGATTTACCAGGATGCTGCCTAGACTGGAGGGCAGGTCTTATGAGGAAAGGTTGAGGGAGCTAGGGCATTTTTCATTGGAGCAAAGAAAGATGAGAGGTGACTTGATAGAGGTATATAAGATGACGAGAGGCACAGATAGAGTGGATAGTCAGAGACTTTTTCCCAGGGCGGAAATGACTATTACGAGGGGGCATAATTTTAAGGTGATTGGAGGAAGGTATAGGGAAGATGTCAGAGGTAGGTTCTTTACACAGAGAGTGGTGGGTGTGTGGAATGCGCTGCCGGTGGTGGTAGTGGAGTCAGATACTTTAGAGACTTTAGTGACTCTTGGATAGGCACATGGAGGATAGTAAAATGTAGGGTATGCAGGGTAGATTGATCTTAGCAGGATAATAGGTCAGCACAACATTGTGGGCCAAAGGGCCTGTACTGTGCTATGTTCTATGTTCTAAAGAACAACAGAACCCATGCCCAGTGACACAGAATTTCCAAAATAGACAATCATACTTGTTAGTGATTGATTGCCAATGATGATGATTAATGAGAAGAATTGAACATAAAAAGCAAGGATGCTATGCTTCAATTATATAAGATGCTGGTGAGACCACATCTCACGCACCCAGTGTTCAGTTCTTGTTTCTTTATTTAAGGAAGGATGTAAATACATTGAAGTGTTTCAGAGGAGCTCTACCAGATTGATGACTGCAGTGAATGGATTGTCCTCCAAGAGAAAGCTGGTCAGACTGGGCACATTTTCACTGAAGCTTATAAGAGTGAGGTGTGACTTGATTGAAGTATGTGGGACCGTGAGAGGTCACCAATAAAGGTCAACATGGAGAGGATTTTCCTCTTGTGGGTGAATTGAGAACTAAAGAGGGAACACTGTTTAAAAATCAGGAGTTTTCCTTTGAGATCAAACAGGAGGCTAAATTTTTTCTGCAGTTTATACAGTAATTTGGAATCTTGCCTCAGGAGGCAGTGTCAATGAATATTTTTTACTTGGTGGTAGACTGATTTCCCTTGCAATAACAAAAATCTAAGGCTATTGGTAGTAGATGGGAATGTAGAATTCAGAACACAAACAGATCAACCACAATCTTATTATATGGCAGAGAAAGATCAAGGATCTGAATGCTGACTTCTGCTCCTAATTTGTATGTAGATATGCTCGTATTTGTATGTTAGCATGGGAGATGAGTTTACCCATCATGCTTGGTCTTTAAAAGACCCCAGGACCCTGCCTGTTCCTATGGCTCTGCAAATGTTGGCCCATTGGTGTTTGTTCTGTTTCATCTTGAAAGTTAACATCAAATCTGCATTCACCAGCCTTTCACACAGTGCACTGCAAATTGTAACAATCACTCCTTTAAAAGAAAGGCATTCCTTCTAATTGCCTCTTCTAGCCTAATAATATTGCTCATACAACGAGCAAAAGTTACCAAGGCTACAGAGGTTTGAGGCCGAGTATCAGAACAATAGTCTTCATATTTTCATAAAAGCCCAACTGGTTTATTACATTTCTCAAAACAATGCAATCTTTCAGTTTTGTTTTTAATAAAAGGAAATCTTAAAAATTCACACGAATTCTCTGGCTGCTTGATCTTCTTTTTGTACATTTGAGGAATAATGAAAGATTATCTGGTCAATAGCTACTTACGGGAGCTTGTGGGCATTTGTTGGTTTTATAAAGGTCTTCACTTCATGAAAGGGACCTGAGACAACTCCAGGATATGAAAGGTGCGATAGAAGTGCATGTCTTTTCTTTCTAGTTCCCCAAACAGCTACCTCAGGGAACAACTTTGGAACTATGAGCCAATGGGAAGGCTTTCTGGAAAACGACAATAACAACTTGAAAAGCAAATGTGCATTGGAAATAAAAGTACTTACAGGAAGTTACTGATAACCTGACGACACATTGTGAACTATCAACTCTATTGCGAGCCGTACATGCGTAGTCACCAGAGTAATCAGCTGTTGCGTTTTTCAATTTCAGAGTTCCTGAGACCACATCTGCAGAGGAAAAAGAAGACAGTTATTTAAAATCCAAGAAACCTAGGTGAAGACTGGAAATAATGGCAACAAGTAAAAGTCACAAGTTAGTGGTTAGGTGTCTTTTGGAAGTCTGCAAGCGGCAAGTGGTGCAAAAATTTGAGAGAGAGCAATCACCAGTTCATGTTCCTTGGAAAGAAAGTTAGGAAGAAGTATCAGCACCAGGAGCCTATTTCTGGGATAGTATGCTATGGCACTGGAAGGTTAAAAGGAAGGAATTTTGAAACAGTCAACTTCAGTCCAGAAGTGAAGGCATCATTGTAGGGAAGGTCAAATGTCACACGATACCAGGTTATAGTCCAACAGGCTTATTTGAAATCACAAGTTTTCAGAGTGCTGCCCCTTCGTCAGATGAAGTCACCTAACAAAGAGGCTATGCTCCGTTACTTTTGACCTTGTCCACCCCAGTCCAAGACCGGTATCTCCACATCATTGTAGGGAGGCATTGAGAGGGTACAGGCAGGGAAGGTCAGACAGTGAATGAGAGTCTTCATCCATTCATTCAATTAAATAGATTTAATCATTTGGTTCATTAATGTCCTTTAGGGAAGGAAATCTGCCATCTTTACCTGATCTGGTCTAAATGTTACTTCAGATCAACAGCAAAGTGGTTGACACTTAACTGCTTCCTTGGTTTTTCTGAATGGCCCAGCCGGTGAGTCATCCCATAAATGGATTAAAAAGTACAGTATCTGTTGCTCACGATGTTATCTCGCCTACACTGGGGTAACCAAATACAGACTGGGTAACTGCCCGATAAAGCACCTATGTTTGGTCTGTAGGTTATGAACTTGAGCTTCCAGTCATCAGTCACTATTCCAAGGAATCTTAACGCAAGCTTATCTTTAAATTTATTTGTGAGATGTGGGTGTCGCTGGCAGACCAGCATTTATTGACTGTCCCTAGTTGCCCTTGAGAAGGTGGTGGTGAGCTGCCTTCTTGAACCGCAGCAGTCCACCTGCTGCAGGTTGACCCCCAATGCCATTAGGGAGTGAATTCCAGGATAGTGACCCAGCAATAGTGAAGGAATGATGATATATTTCCAAGTCAGGATGGTGAGTGGCTTGGAGGGAAACTAGAAGGTGGTGATGTTCCCATGTATCTGCTGCCCTTGTCCTTCTAGATGAAAGTGGTCGTGGGTTTGGACGGTGCTGTCTGAGGATCTTTGGTGAATTTCTGCAGTGCAGCTTGTAGATAGTACACACTGCTGCTACGGAGCGTCGGTGACAGAGGGAATGGATGCTTGTGGATGTAGTCCCAATCAAGCGGGCTGCTTTGTCCTAAATTGTGTTCTTGAGTGTTGTTGGAGCTGCACCCATCCAAGCAAGTGGGGAGTATTCATCACACTCCTGACTTGTGCCTTGTCGATGGTGGAGAGACTTCGGGGATCAGAAGGTGAGTTACTCGCTGCAGTATTCCTAGCCTCTGACCTGCTCTTGTGTTTATGTGGCGAGTCCATTTGAGTTTCTGGTCAATGATAACTCCCAGCATGTTGATAGTGGGGGATTCAGTTTTGGTAACACCACTGAATGTCAAAGGGTATGGTTAGATTGTCTTTTATTGGTGATAGACATAGCCTGACATTTGCTTGGCAAAGCTTGAGGGACAGCTTTTGATTAGGCACTCTTTAGTCTTCCAGGTGCAATATTAAGAGTTGCTAGCTTTCACACCAAGTTCATGACTGTTCATTCAGGGTGATAGCTTGATGCGTAGCTGGGCAAGAACAACCTTTGATACCTAGGCAACACTTTGTGATTTTTCAACCATCACGGAGTCTGAGAGCACAATGTAATCATAGGCCAGCATCCCACATAAAAACATTACACCCTCCACAGCCTTCACAAATACACTACAGAAGCCCAATGAACTCAGTTTAAAATGTACTTACCTGCAACTGCAGAAGGAGGCATCAGATTTGAAGGGCCCTGTCTGGTCCAGGTATATGTAATGGGGGGAGTTCCTTGACTTGAACATTTCAACATTGCATCTTTTCCAACCTCATGATTTCCATCCACGTAACATCTTAGATCGCTTGGTCTCACTACAGCACAAACATGAAGCACAAAGGAATTCAAGATTCTGAATGGCAGGGACAAACTGAAATCCATCATGAGTTAGGGATCACCACTACTCCCAACAGCAAGTTCCTCATGTTGATTTTAGGATCACAGTTACCTCATTTGGCAGTCAATAATTTGTAAGTAATTTCCTGGTGGTTCATTGAGTTTGTTGAATAGCAGCAGTTTTGATTTGATACATTCATTAGTTAGATAAAGAAAGTATAGTCTTGAGGGGGAGTTCATTGAATATGTTACAGATTGCTTCTTGGAGCAATATGTTGAGGGATGAATAGGGAGCAGCCTGTTCTGGATTTGATGTATAATGAGGCGGGGTTAATGAATGATCCCATAATAAAGGATCCTCGAGGGAAGAGTGATCATAGCATGCTAGAATTTCAAATTCAGTTTGAAATTGAGAAAATGGAGTCCCACACCAGCATTCTGGAGTTAATCAAAGGTAATTAGATAGGCATAATTAGATTTAGCCCAAGTGGATTACGCAGGAAAGGTAGGACTGCTTAGGTCAGTGGCAGATGTTTAGAGAGATATTCAATTTCTCCTAACTAAAATATATCCAGAAAGGAAGAAAGATTGTAAGTGGGGTGGAAAACATCCATGGCTAAGCAATGGAGATAAAGATAACATAAAGGCAAAAACTAAGGCAACTCATTGCAAAAGGCCAGTAGCAGGTTGGAAGGCTGGGAAACTTTTAAAGATCAACTAAGGGTTGCTAAAAAAAGAACTCATAACAAGAGCAAATGTAAATTATGACAAAGAGTGCACAATATAAAAAATATGTAGCAAAAATTTATATGAGAATGAGATGGTCCCTGGAGGAGGAGATTGAGGGAGTTAATATTGGGGAAACACAGAAATAGCAGAGACATTAAATCAATATTTTGCCTCAGTTTCCATGGTGGAGGACAATGGTACCATTCCAATAGTGAGAATTAATGAAGAGGCTACAGAAAATTAAGGGCTTAAACAATCATCATTAGAGAAAAAACAATGAGCAAACTATTAAGATTGAAAGCAGATGAATCCCAGAGCCTGAAGGCCTACATCCGAGAGTCTGAAGGGAAGTTGCACCAGAGATAATTGATAAATTGATTATAATACTCCAAAATTCCCTGGAATCTGGAAAGGCTCTGGTAGATTGGAAAAATGTTCTTATTATTTGAAAAGGGACATAGGCAGACAGTAGGAAAATGGAGAACAGTTAGTTTAATGCATTTTTGGGAAATTGTTAGAATCTGTTACTAAGAAAACATTAACAAGATATTTTAAAAGTCAAAACACAATTCTATCAGATTCATGAGATAACAAGATGTAGAGCTGGATGAACACAGCAGGCCAAGCAGCATCAGAGGAGCAGGAAGGCTGACATTTCAGGTCTGGACCCTTCTTCAGAAATGGGGGATGGGAAGGGGATTCTGAAATAAAGAAAGAGAGAGGGAGAGGCGAATGGAAGATGGATAAAGGAAGATAGGTGGAGAGGAAACGGACAGGTCAAGGAGGCGGGGATGGAGCCAATAAAGGTAAGTGTAGCTGGACTGACCAACTCCAACCCTAACTCCCCACCTACACTCACCTTTACCGGCTCCATCCCCACTTCCTTGACCTGTCTGTCTCCTCTCAACCTATCTGCTCCTTTATCCATCTTCCATCTTCCATCTGCCTCCCCCCCGCTCTATTTATTTCAGAATCCCCTTCCCCTCCCCCATTTCTGAAGAAGGGTCCAGACCCGAAACATCAGCTTTCCTGCTCCTCTGATGCTGCTCGGCCTGCTGTGTTCATCCAGCTCTACACCTTGTTGTCTCAGATTCTCCAGCATGGGCAGTTCCTACTATCTCTCTATCAGAATCATCATGGTTTCAATTAATGGCAACTAGAATGATGTAACGAGCAAAGTGGATAATGGGGATTTGTTAGTGTAGAGCAGGAGTTCCAGAAGGCATTTGATAAGGTGCCACACAAAAGGTTTATACGCAAGATAAGATCACATGGGGTTTAGGGCAATTTTAACTTGGAGAGAGGACTGACTAATCAACAGGAGGTAGTAGGTTGGGATAATGAGTCTTTTTCTGCTTGGCAAAATGTATCTGATGGGATGCCACAGGGCTTGGTCCTCAGGGCCTGAACTATTTACAATCTACATTAATTACTCAGATGCAGGAATAGAAGCACTACAGCCAAATTTGCAGACGGCACCAAAATAGGTGGTTAAGTAGTTTGCAATGAAGGAATTAAAAATTTATGATTAGTATAGGTGAAAGGGCAAAAATTTGGCAGATGGGATTTAACATGGATAAGTATGAGGTTATCCATTTTGATTGGAAGAACTGAAAGGCACCTTATTATGTAAAACAGAGAGAAACTTCAGAGTTTTTAGGTCTGGAGGGACCTGTGTGCCCTGATGCATGAATCTGCAGGTACAATGGGTTATAAGGAAGGCAAATGGAATTTTGGCATTTATTGCTAAAGGAATGGAGTATAAAAGTGGGGAAGTGTTGATATAACTGTGCAAGGTATTAATTAGTCACACCTGGAGTATTGTGCATAACTTTTGTCCCTTCACTTGAGGAGGGATGTAATTGTATCGGATGCAGTTCAGAGGAGGTTCACTAGATTGATTCCAGAGATGAGGGGTTTGCCTTATGAAGGGAGACTGAACAGTTTAGGCATATACCTCTGGGGTTTAGAAGAACGAGAGGAGATCTAATTGAGGTGTATAAGATGTTAAAGGGGATTGACAAAGTAGATGTGGAGAGGATATTTCCTCCTTTGGGTCAATCTAGAATGAGAGGTTACAGATTTAGGATAAGGAGTGGCAGATTTAAAACAGAGATGAGGAGGAATTATTTCTCTCAAAAGGGTCATGAATCTGTGGAATTAACTTCCCCAGAGTGTGGTGAACAACAGGACACTGAATAAATTTAAGGATGAGGTAGACAGATTTTTAATTAGTAATGGGTTAAAGGGTTGTGGAAAGAGGGCAGGAAAGTGGAGTTTGAAGTCATATTGAATTGTGGAGGTGCCCTGAAGGGCCGAATGGCCTACTGGTTCTTATAAATCCATTTGAAGCCAAAAAAAACTTCCTTACTCATAACATCCAGCGTGATTGATATGGTCTTTGAACCAGGAGACTTCTTCACTTTGCAATGGTATCGTCCAGAATCGCTGAGTCTCAACCTGGTGATATTGATGGAAGCGTCACCATTTTTGGGATCTGGTGAACTGAAGTGCACACGACCTTTCATATCTTCAAGCCGTGTCTCATAGGTCCTGTCCCCTGAATAGTCAATGACCTGTTCAATTAGAAAACACTTCAGTCACTAAGCAGCCCAGTTGAGTCAGTTAGACAGAGAGTAAGTTCACTAACACAGGTAGGATAGTGTCTGAGCAGAAAAACAGTGTCATCATTTCACCTCCAGAAGGCACACTGGGGTACTTTTCAGCATTAAGAGCGAGCTTGAATACCTAAAGGTAATAGATGACAAGAGAGCATGCAGAGATTGTGGTGTTAAGCTGATGGGAAACAGAAAGAGTAGAACATTTGCCTCTTGAAGCTTGCCCCACCAATCATCAAGACATGCTTAATCTTCTCTATCAATTCCAATTTCCCACTCAATCCCCATCTAACTCAATTCCATCCAGAGTTCTAAAAACCTGTCAATATTGGTTTTGAATATACTCAATGACATTGCTCTCTGCGATAGAAAATTCCAAAATAATTCACAGGCCTCCCAGAATAAAGGAATTCATCCACATCTCAGCTGATCACAGCTCAAACATTGACGTGAAGACTGTGATCTAATTTTCTGGGTTCTCCAATTAAGGGGAAATAGCTTCGACTGTATCAAGTCCTTTCAGAATCTTGTGTTTCACTGAGACAGAGTCGGAGACAAAGACAGACAGAGTGTGTGTTCAGAAAGCAAGTATGCCATGCACAAGTAGCAGGACAAAGAGTACAGAAGCAAGGAAAGAGCAAGAACAAGTAGACACAGTCAGATGTGTGCAATTCTGACATTCTTTCTCTCAAAATTAGTTGAAATCAGGATTTCTGGATCTGTCAACAGATTGCGTGCTGGTGTAAATGACTGGCCAATAACTGCACCTTAACCTTTAACATTTATGGCTCTATGTATATTTAGCTGGTTAAATCTCAGATTTAATACTCACAATGATTGGCGAATCTGCTGGATCATTGGGTGTTTTTGACCACTCGATATCCAGCGGGCCGATGTCTGTTTTGTCTAGCTCAAACCGGCATTCCAACATCACGCTGTCTCCATCACCTGCCTCTTTACGATCTGCGGTTGGGAGGATCGTCAACTCCTGCGACCATCCTGCAGCAGAAGATAGAAGTTGGCATCAACATTTTGCTGTGGGTTCAACTACATCCATGAGACAGGGTACTAGAGTGCAAGCTGGCACAGTAGCATTTACCTATTCTACATACGAACTCAGAGCACCACTGCACTCCTTTGCACACTTCCACCTTCCACACTCTTGCTCAAGCCCCTGCCTTCTGTGCACTCCATTATGCAATCTAGAGATGCCTGAAACAAATGTGAAACTGTCTTACGTGTTTATTTACATTTCAATTTCAAAATATTGCAACATTGCAAAACATCTTTATTCCTGCATATTCCAGCTTTACCTTCATGTAGCTTGAGGTGTCTGTTTGTTTTGCTCTAAATCCATACTGTGATGAGATGTGCTTTTAAGAGATATGTCCTGTTTCTCTTGAAAGCAAATGCTGCAAACCAGGTGGCGAGCCGGCTGCTCTATGCACAGTAGGGTAGCTACCATAGGTTTTTTTCCATACAGAAAAAAGAAGCATGAGTGGGTGGAGTCAGGTTCACACAGACCAGTCAGGTTCACGCAGACCCAGGGTTTCCAGGCTTTGCTACCAGTTGGTGGATCTGGGATTTCAGAGGAAGTCACAGTTCTCTCTGCTGTGGCAAAATCTTAAGTTCTCTCCGTACTGCTGCGTTCATGTTTTTGAGTTTTCCTTTCAATTTGCCTTCAGCAAGGGTGTTTATAGGTTGCTGCTATATTCAAACAGTTAATGGGTGGTGGTTAAATCACACACTATTTGATTAAGTATTCCGATAGAGTTACAGTTTTATTTTATATTTATTTCACTTGTATTTTAGCTATAGTGTAAGGATGAACTGCGTTTTGCTTAAAACCTGGTAGATTGATCAATCAGAACACATCTTGAACGTAATGCCTTACACTTACCTTTAAACAACAAAAGGTTAGGGTTTAAGTTATCCCTTTCATATACTCCGAGGGTGTTTGGTCTGGTCCACAAGAAACTGGGGGCTCTTGTTGGGATCAAAATCTCTAAATCCAGGTTGGCTTTAGAGTAACTGGACTCAAACAATGAGTGGTGAGTGTTACGGTTCTCTTCTCAGGTGTTGCATTTGGTTAGTTTAAATAGGGCCTGCCCTGTGTCATAGTGGCTCTTTCAGAGGCTAAGAGTTTCTTGGGGGTGAAAGAAGTCACTTAAAATAGTTTACAAAAAGTGAATAAGACAAAGCTTGTAATTGGTAGGCAAGCTGGAGTTGGAGTTGCCTTTACCTGTGAAGAAAGGGGAGGTAGTTGCAGCAATAGCTCAACATTTACAATTTCCAGAAATGTAAATCAGAATATTTGGATATGGCTGAAATTCAATTGCAAATGAAGCAGCTTGAATTAGAGGGAAAAGGAAGGAAGGAAAGCGCCCATGCGCAAGAGAGAGGAAAGCATGAAAAGTTCTATTAGAAGAAAGGGAGAAAAAGACAGTTTTTGAACTTCAGAAGTTGCAACTGAAATTTGTCTTAAAATGGTGCAGGGAGAGGGGAAAGGTAGTACTAGTGATAAGGACCGTGATGGAGAGCAATTCCATTGTAGCCAAAGGCCTGGTGGGGATCTGTTTAACTAAGTCCAAGCATCACCTAAGTTTGACAAGAAGGACATAGAAGTCTTGGTCATTTCATTGAGAAAGTGGCTAAACAAATGAAATGGCCGGTGACCATGTGGATATTGTTGATTCAAGCGAAGTTGGTAGGTAGAGCTAGTGCGGTATTTGCATTGCTATCAGAGGAGGTATCTGGGGTGTATGAGGAGGTGAAAAAAGCTGTCTTAAGTGCAATAAGCTAGTGCCAGATGCCTACACACAACATTTTAGGAATCGAAGGAGGAAACCTGGTCAAACATATGTTGAGTTTGAAAGGATCAAACAAAGTAATTTTGATAGATGGATGAGGGCATTGAAAATAGATCAAAACACATGATGCTCTTAGATGGTTATTTTGGAGGAGTTCAAAAATTCACTTCCTGAAGTAGTGGCATCTCATGTGGAAGAAGAAAGAGTTAAAACTGCAAGGTTAGCAGCAGAAATGGCCGATGACTATGAGTTGCTTCATAACTCCAACTTTGGCTTCCGGCATCAATTTCAATCTGTGAGGGATAGAAATTGGGGAAAAGAGAAATCCTCAGGTGGTAAGGGGGAAGGAGATCCCACTGAAGACCGTAAAGATAGTTTACCATGGGGTAAAAAGGAAATCCACGAGGGGGAAGGAGAATAAAAATGCTCAGGTGTTTTCACTGCAATAAAGCAAGCCACATGAAGTCGCAGTGTTGGTGGTTTAGAAAAAGCACTGGGAAGACCAATGTGGGAAAATAGGAAAAGCCAGGGAATTTTGTTGAAGTGGTAAAGGGAAGCACATTGGAAGCTAAAAAGCTGCAAAAAAAAACACACAGCCTGGTAAGGGGTTGGTTGAGAAGGAAGTGCCAGATATTTTTAAAGAATTTACCTGCGTGGGTAAGGTTACTGATGTATGCCAGGAGAAGCAGGGGAAGAAAAAAAAATTTTAAGAGATACAGGAGCAATTCAATTTTTAATGTTGATAAATGAGGAGATATGTAACTCAAAAGGGACTATTGCCAGGAACGGTGGTAATATGTGGAATTCATTGTGTGAAGAGTGGTGTTTCATGATATAAAGTGATCTTGGAAAGTCCAGTGATAAAACTGGTGAAGTAGTGGTAGCTGTAACAGAGAATTTCTTAATTCTGGAAATAATTTCTCCTTGGTAATGATATAGCTGGATCACAGGTGGGAGTGTGCCTACAGTGGTTGAAAAGCCAGTGAAAAATCAGACAACTGAGGTAATACAGGGAGTATACCCTGGGAATTTTCCTCTCTGTTGTAACAAGATCACAAAACCAAAAGGTTGAAACAGGAGGAGAAATTAAGAAGTAAAGATAAGGAAGTTGAAGTTCAATTATCAAAAACTATGTTTAATCAAATGGTTGGGGGAAGAACAAGAACAGGTGGAAGGCAAAGTGGATAGTTATAGTTCAGAGAAGCTAGCTGAATTACAACAGAAAGATGAAAAACTAAAGCAGCTGTGTCAAAAAGTATACACAGAAGAAGAATCTGAGGGTGTCCCAGATATTATTACTATCTTAAAAATGACGTCTTAATGAGGAAATGGAAACCATCACATACTCAGGCGGATGAGAAATAGGCAGAAGTTCATCAAGGTGCATTACCGGTGGGTTACAGAAAAATGGTGTTGCGAGGAGCAATGAGTTAGCAGCAATATATCATTTGAGAGTAAGGAAAACTCAAGCCAAAATATAAAGAACGGTCTAGACCTGAAACGTCAGCTATTCCTGCTCCTCTGATGCTGCTTGGCCTGCTGTGTTCATCCAGCTCTACACCTTGTTATCCCAAAATATAAAAAAAAACTTTTTTTTGGCTGTGGATGCATAAAGATATGGTTAAATTTTGCTGGACACGTCATTTACGTCAGGTAATTGGAAAACCTCAGACAGTGATAAACCAGCACTTTTAATACCCATTCCTTTTACACAAGTCTAAATTGATCGTGTAGGACCCTAAAACAAAAAGTGGGAATCAGTATTTGTTGACCATAATGGATGTGTCTACCAGATTTCCAGAGGCCAATCCATTATGCAGTATCATTGTTACATGGATTGCAGAAGAGTTACTCAAAATGTTTTTACTAGATACGCACTACCCACATAAATACAAGCAGATCACAGATCAAATTTTATATCAAAGTTATTCAAGGAAGTTATGGATAGCTTCAGAATAAAACAATTCAAATCCACTGTGTACCATCCAGAATCGCAGGGAGCATTAGAATGGTGGCATCAAACTTTAAAGTCCATATTGCCAGCTTTAATAGTCTAGACTACCCGGAGGACTGGGATAAAAGAATTCATTGTACCCTTTGTAATTAGGGATGCACCTAACGAATCAACTAAATTCAGTCCATTTAAATTCGTTTTTGGGCATGAGGGCAGGGGACCATTGCAATTACTTAAGGAGAAATTGGACAGTCAGAATTCAGAGACTACATACGTGTCAATTTTTAGGGAAAGATTAAATAGAGTAGATAAGTTGGCTAGACAGCATTTAAAAGTAACATAGAATATGATGAAACAGGAAGCAGGCAATAGATCAAAAATTCGCAGTTTTGCTACTGGTGGCAAAGTGTTAGAGTTGCTCCCAGTGGTAGGTGAACCTTTAAAGACAAGGTTTAGTGGGCCTTATCAAATTGAAAGGAAACTGACTGAGGTGAATTATTTGATAAGAATGACAGATGGAAAGAAATCTCATAGAGTGTGTCATGTGAATATGCTCAAAAGGTATTTTGATAGGGAAGGAAAGCAAAAGAGAATGTGTTACTGGTTTCAAAACAGAGTGAATAACTAAGTTTAGATGATTCTGCATCGCAGTGATTGGAACTCATCCAGAGTAATATTTCCAAAACCAGATGGTACCCAACAATTATGTGTGGACTATCGCAAAGTCAATGCAGTTACAAAATCTGATTCATTACCTATTCCACATTTGGAAAATAGTATTGAGAAGCTGGGACAAGCAACTTATATTTCTAAGTTAGACTTACTCAGAAGGTACTAGCCAGTACTTTAATCTGAAAAAGCAAAGGAAATTTCAGCTTTCATTATGACCAAATGGTCTTTTTTTCCCTTTATTCATTCACAGGATGAGGGTGTTGCTGGTGAGACAGCATTTATTGCCCATCCCTAATTGCCCAGAGGCCACTTAAGAGTCAACCACATTGCTGTGGGTCTGGAGTCACATGTAGGTCAGACCAGGTAAGGATTGCAGTTTCCTTCCCTAAAGGACATTAATGAATTTGACGGGTGTTTCAAACAATTGACAATGGATTTGTGGTCGTCATTAGGCCCTTAATTCCAGTTTTGTTAAATTGAATTCAAATTCCACCATCTGCCATGGTGGTATTCGAACCTGGGTCCCCAGAACATTGCCTGGGTCTCCGAATTAACAGTCCAAA